GAGTATTTTCCTCTTCGTGACCGGTGTATAGCAGCATCTCTCCCGTGGCTAGCCTTTTCTGTCCAGCTTGGGTCCAATAGGTTTCGCTGATTCCCAGTACCGCCAAGTTGTATCTCCTCATTCCCGTTGCTATTTGACTGGTCTTCCCGGTTCCCACATTGTTTGGACGTTCCATGTACCTATAAGAAGTTTTGCTCTGGTTGTAAGAAGGGGCATCGGCCTCGTGGCTTCTGAAGGAACTCGGTTTCCACCATGAGGCGTCACAGTTCTTCTAAATGAAGACCTAACTCTCAGGGCAGAGTTTAAATGGTTTGAATTATTTTTTCTGGTAAGCGTTTTTTTAGCGAGTTAGTTTTATACGGGATGGGGACGCTAACCCCATGCCCAACCCTCCTCCTTTAGCAGGGCTTGGGGCTGGCAGTAACTCTAGAGGAGCTACAAGCGGATTTAATAATTATTTTAACATAGTAATATAAATAGCTTATCATACACTATCATTGGTTCATATATTAAATCCACTACTTATTCTATTTATTTAGTTAATTTGAACACATAAATATTGGTACAAAGAGGCACCGAATACATATGCACCACACAAGTCACTTGATTTGTGTGTGGGCTGTAATGCTGCTCGGGTGCTTAGACCGAAGCAGGTAGTTTTCTTACGGAAACACACCCGGAGCCTTAGACCTAAAGGTCTGAACCATATGGCAATGGAGCAATGTCAGGAGATAAAGTCACATGGTAGCCGGTGATCAACAACAAATTCATACTCCATTGGTTCCTTCGGGATCGTGGAAACCATATACACGGTTGGTTAGGAATAAGGGTTTTCCAACTCCCCTAGGTGGACCCCCAGTGTCCATCAACCCAGTTAAAGCACCGGACATTCGCTTTTCGTCCACTCAATTTCGTAAACAACAGCCCACCTCAAGAAGGCAGTGAGTAGGACTTCTTTGGCAGTGGATGTACATGTAATCAAGTATGATCATGAAATTAAGACATATTGGATACAAAAGTCAGCTTACATATTGTTTATCGTGGTTACAAATTGTTTAGTAATGATATACTTAAAATGAAGATTGATTTCACCATGAAATCATATCATTTGAGAAGCCATTAAACTAGCGGATAGCCTTTTTGTATATAACAGTTAGAAAATCTCATATTTTCTAAGTTCGATTTTTATGTAGAGTTTGTAGTGTCGGTTATTGTGTTAAGCCCATATATCTTATTCTAGCTTTCGGACAGCCCAGTCTATTTATTCTATTTGAGCCATATTTTGACCTTGTTAATTATTCGCTTATCAATTTTAACTGTTTATATGAGCGCACATGTGTGTACACTTCTCATCCCATTATTCATCACATGTGTAACTTATTTTTGTGTGTCTACGAATCTTGATTAAGGCTTGGGTAATAGGAGTTGGGTTACTCGCCATCTCCACTGCGCGTCGTTTTGTTTCACTCTGTTCCATCCGCTTCGTATACAAAATATATGTGTTCAAAAGTCGATTCTCGTTATTTGACTTCTTTAATTCCGTTAATGACTAACGTGATTTAAGTCGATGATTATATACGAGAATAGGCGATATATATATTTCAGTAACATTCATACGACCATTCGTACGATCTCGTTGGAGTCAGATCCCGGGCCACTAAAGTGAAGAGCCCATCAACAAACATCGTTCGACCTAAATGACGACAAAATAAAAGGTCCCACAAGTTACCCATAAAATGCCTAAAAGTGTAAAATGAGACTGAAATAAAGGTCTTTTTAAATTTCTTCAACTGATATTACTTATTGTTCAATGTTAGATTAAAACATTTAAGGTTCTCGTTTCTAAACTAGAAATTAAAGACGATTTATTTGCATATACATTATTTTGTAAATCGAATAATAATAATAATAATAATAATAATAATAATAATAATAATAATAATAATCGATAACTATCTGTCTAACTGGTACCACTTGAAGTACATTTCTACTTTATTTATAAAAACCCATAAGACACTTGTCTCTAATTGTCACAGAATATTCCGGAACATTTATTATTCTATACATTTTTCCTGTCAAAGTTGTAACAGATTTTGAGAAAAGAATACATATTTTGTTGTTTTTAAACATGCTTTCTGAAGATCGTCAAAACAAGTCGAATACTTTGACATAATTTATATGGATTAGGAAAACATTGTATTGCGTACGTACTCTTGATTAGTCAAGAAATAATCTAGGTAATTAGTAGATACGTAACTTTCCCCGGTTTTACACCCTATGGGTTAAGGGTTTTGTTAAGATACTTGAGAATTAAGCTAGCTTAGTGATTATTATGATGAGCGCAGATTCTAAGAGATAACTGTGTGCCACTGTCACATATGGCATGTATGTAATTGACTTTAGATCTGTTAATTCCGTAATTTTCATGTCTTACCTTCAAAAATGCAGGCCCATGGGTCAAAATGAAGTGTATTTTGTCTAGACTTTCACTTTTATGACTTTACTCTTCCTATGAGAAGAGGCAGCAGAAATGGAAAAACTGATTATCTGTAGATAAGAAGCTTGCTGTCATTACGCTGAAAATCATTTGACAGCAAGAATGCAAGCAGACTTTCCGTTTACTGCTTTTGGTCTTATCAACCGATCTATATGACACGAAAGGACCTCGAAGAACAAATGTTTTAACCAGTGTCGTTCGATAGAGTAGACATACTTGTTGTACCTGACTGCCGCACCAAGGTACAGACACGGTCTGGAAGTTATTCATCAACCATAAATCAAGTGAAATCCGTTGAGAAGTTGACAAACGCAGTCATTTCACTGTTAGTCTATTTTTGTGTGGTTCTCATACCATTGACATTACAAAAGACTCCCAAATGGTAGCTGAATGAAACCAACGAAATCAGTGAACGCTTACCAATTTCTGCATGAGTTTTCTTACCATACATCTGTTAAATACTGTGAATCTACGTAAGTAGTAGGAACAGCACTATAGTATAGCAGATGTCTAGTAGATGTGAATATTGAGAAATGAACTTTTTAACCAATTTTTTCAGTAAGAGTACGATTTCACAAAGGTTAGTAATTTTAAAATGTCTGGAATAGCAAGAAGACTAACAGCCACAGTGTAAAATGATTAAAATAATTCACTTCACCTGAAAATACTTTCATTTAGAATGTGGATTACAGGTTTTCCGTGCTAATTAGTTCATATGATATTTGGAGAAAATGCAAATTTGTTGTGTTTATCACTATAAGAACTTAATTGAACTGATTCATGCTCACTGCTGAGGAGTCCCACAATAGGACAAAACGGCCGTCCAGTGCTTCCAGGTTTTTCATGGTGGTCTAGCTTCAAATGACTCATGATCTCAACTGCTGATTCATCTAAGTTGAGGAAGTATTTTCAAATGATTAAACATCTTGTTTTTTAGCCAAATTCAGGTAGCTACTTTTTAATTTTCTAAGTAGCTTGTTTGAAAGATAAATATTTTAAAAAGAGATGAATAGTAACTTTTGCAGCTATATTCATGATAGTTCTTAATTGTTACACTTGTATTTAAAATTTCAACTGGACTTCGCTTTAAATGCATGATTGATTACTGTGCGATGTATAACGTCACACCTGTATATTCTTCAAGTCTGATCAAATTCGACTGGTTTACTTGTAATGTTGTCACCGGTTTAAGAGTTCGACATTATGTCAAGTGGATGGGGGTAAACGGTAGGGAGCCCTGGATCTAAGATTTTGATTGATAAACTATGTCTACAAATTTCATGAAAGTGATGCTCTCTTTGGGATTTAGACTCACATAAAATAATAGCACAGTCAGGAATGTTACGGTGGGATGAAAATATAGAGAGCTTAGTAATATTAAATTAGAGTTACCCAATAAAAGATATTTTGGCACAGATGAAAAAAATGTTGAAATATTTGTCCACGAGTATAAGGACCATCGATGTTCACCTTTTTTATGAAAATTCATAGTCTGAATGAAGTAAGGATTCGAATGCTGTTGGAATATCTTCATTAAAATATGTTTTGCCGATTTGGATCTCCTTTTCATGGTGAACGTTGAATAAACAATACGTCTTGATATCATCTTGGTTAAATTTTAATTATTGATTAATCATAAATAAGACTGTGCAAGGAAACATAGTTTAAACGCCTAAATAATAGGCGCTATATGACCTCTTTATGAATCCATTTATAGATGAACTTATGACATCAGATGAAAACAATTAAATTAGTTTACTTGGTTATTTCAGTGAATATATCACAATGACGATTTAACTCTGATCGTTTTTCCAAATAGACTTTTAGTAAATGTATTTCAAGGAAGTTTGAAATTTGTAAAGATATAGTTGTTCAAATCAAAGTTGCATAAGTCTAAACAGCTCGATATTGAATTATTGAATCATTATTACCGCTGGAATTATCTCCTACTTGACATTTCTTTGTTTAATAATACCTTCAGCAGTTTAAGAGGCTTGAACGGGTTTCTACAACTGGATCTCACATAATAATGTTCGTGCAGTGGTGCATGCTACTCATGTTAACAGACATAAGTGGTATGTAACATAAATCAGAAGTGGAATGCCTGTCAAGAGAAGGTTGAGAAGATTTAATTGAGGAGGACAGAAGGGGAAACAGAAAGTGATCGTAATAAGGACGAAATTGAAAGGAGCATGAAGCATGTAAAAGAACAACTGGTGGATGTGCGAATCAGATATTTGATATATGGTTTTCAAATATTTCACAAAATCACTCGGTAGTTTGACATCAAATAGTAAATTCAGTTAACTGCACCTTCGTGTTCGTCCACTACAATTCCACTATTTTCAGTTCATAATAGCACTCTACACAATAACTTTCTCAACGACGCCACTTATTCCTCACAAAATTATAAATAATTCTTAAATTAATCCTTGTGCTTCGTTTAAGTGGTAAAAAGATTTTGTCACAATCCATAGTACACATAGAATTTTTTTTACCTCAGACTTAGAGCGTTGCATGGTTGTCCGAAAATAAGTTATGATTCAAAACTGGCTAGTGATTCTCAAAAGTGGGCTGAACACTTGGCTTCAACAAATTGTATGCAGCATAGTAAAGCAGATGGATATGGTGAAAATTTAGCATTTCAAATGTCTACAGCCGGTGCATCACTGAATGGTAAGTTGAATACCTATGTAAATCTGAATATCTTTAAGATATTTGAATTATCTTATTAGAAAAGCCTACAGATTAGAATGATGTATTTGCTTTTGCATATCTGTATTTGGGATTGTTTAGAATAACGGCATAATGATTGTTTTCTACAACAGTCCAAACACAAATATATCGTAAAATCTCCTAGACTCAACACATAACTGAGTATATTTGTGGTAATGTTAAACATTTGTCAGGCATATATACTTGAGAACAGAGAAAAAAATCCAAGGAATTATATCTGTTGAGAAAACTTGTTATTATAACAGAAAAAATTCATACAATTAGTTCCATTATTAGATTTAAATAAAGCTAATTCAACAATTGGGGCACCTAGCTTGTCGTATGCCCTAATGGTGTTCTTGTGACGTTCGCGTTGCCTGACCTGCCAAGAGCGATAGGATAGTGCATGATGGTATTATTGTGTGCTAATTTCAAAGAGGATTGTATGTTATATACATGCAAATCCGCCCCGTTATTGTTCCTATTCAACAATTGAGACGGGCTAAAATGAATTAATTTTTATTTAGTGATTTCACTTCAGCTGCTTACAACCGAATTTATATTGAAACATAGCATGATATGACACAATACAAATTGCAAATTTTTTAGAAAAATGAGATGACTATGGCTATCAGTATCTATATGTATCGTTATTTGAAGATGGAAATCGAAACACACACAGAGGGGGGGGGCGGAAGACGAGTCAGTAATTATCTTGGAATTGATATTTGATAGAGTGAATTATTGTTATATCTGGAAGCTTAGATTCTTAATACACCGCGTATGACTTGAGCATTCGAACACTAGAACCCTCCCAAGTTGTAAATGAAAAAAAGGAAGACGATTAAAGAAAGTATGTATTGGGCAAGGATCAAAATGTACAGAAAACCATGGGTATTTATAGATATTAGAGGTCGTTAAATCAACATTATAATTCAACCAATCTTCAAAGACGCATGTTATGCTACTGACCAATAGTAGACTGCTACGATGGTATTCTAGAAAGCCCCATTACGTTCTGATTGGGTGGACACTTTGGCTCTTCTAGAGCCTCTAAAGGCTCCGTTGTAGTTCTCGGAAGCCGTCCCAACAACTATGTTACAATCCACGAGTTCTCATAAGTCCGCAGAGTTAAACGAATTGATGCGTAGTAAGAATTGGCTCAGCAATGAATACAGAACAGTTGTACCCAATAATAAAGAAATAATAATATTGGTAATAATAATTAGTATGGTTGTATTTGGAATTATGAATTAATCAAGTCAGTGATAAACTGATGACTGTCTCTTTTTGAAAGTATAAATCTGGCTTGGTGTCTTTTAATCATAATTGTTTCGGTAACTCATCAAGAAGATGCATTCTTTTTGTATGACGATGATTCTGAAAGACTGGAAGACGTCCCGTATTGATTAAATGCCAAGTAATTGGAATATTTAAAACTTTCACATATTTTAATCTCAAATTCCTCGAAACATGCTCGAATATATAAATATGTACACATCCCACTGTTCTTGCAATTTATGTGATTTGGTACGTAAATATCGATCAGTCTCATATAGCTAACCTTAGACGGGACCTAACAAGCTTCATATACTCCGTTATAAGACATTAAATATCTAAAATCAACTAGTATATACTGGTACATTGTTACAGATTCATTTATTTAGTCACTCGTTTTCAAAATAACGATTATGATGAAGAGTAGTTCTCTTATAAATAGATGACATTACTGTATTATTACATACATAAAAACATATTTTTTAAATATTCCCCTTTGAAAGGTCGTGAAGCAACTCGAAATTGGTACGATGAAATTAAGCAACATGATTTCAATGGACAAAATCAACCTGGGACAGGTATAAGACAACCAAAAAAGAATAGTCCATTTAAAATTTGTTTTTATTTCTTAAATTCATTTATTACCTTCAATTGGTGTTGTTTACTTGCATCTTCCGATTGTTATTTAGGACTTCAATTGATCAGTCTCTTGTTGGCATATGTGCATCCTGTCCGGACTGTCTCCATATTTCCGAAGTCACAAGCTTTATAACCAAATATGGACAGTGGCTAGCAGTTGAATCTTGGACGCACGTTTCGTCCTGTTTGGGACCCATCAGCTGGATGTATCTGCATCTGATGGGTGCTAAACAAGACGAAACGCGCGTCCTAGATTCCACTGTCAGCCATTATCCATCTTTGCTTTCATTTATTACTTGTCAAATATTAGTTATTTATTTTATCAGATGAAGAGTAACAGTAATTGTGAAATTCTTTAAATATCCAATAGTGTCCAGTCAGTTTGTGATGTATCGCTTCCATTTGCCTGCCTCACAATATCATAATAGTGAGATAAAGTTATCAATACAAATGTCAAAATAGTAGTAAAAATTATGTCAGTAGTATTTTAAGAAAAAAGATAAATAGTACTTAGCAGTGAAATGCGCGTTTTGTCCCACTTGAGACCCATTGGCTGAATATACTTTGATTCAATCCCATTATCGTTAGCTTTGTCATCACCTTGTTCACTTGTTTATGTAGCTGTAATCAAGTGAATTTTATATACGTTATTTGAATCTTCCCACTGATTTTTGGTACTGGAAGTGATCAATGTTTTACCATATGTACATCCTATGTGGATTGCTTTGCTATTGACTTTAATTCATAAGGATTTTTAGACATAGATGGATGGTGGTTAGTAGGAAAGGTTAGAGACAGACAGCATTATTCAAGAATCAAGAATACATTCATCGAATAAAAAACACAATATAATTTTAAAAGCTAAGATTTAAGAGAAGACGAAGAATAAGAAGTTCCATGCTACTGTGACCGGATCATAGCCATCTCTTCCATTATCTCAAACCGTTTGTTTCGTTATTCATGAAGTCTCCGACAACATGGTCTGTATCTACAATTTTATCAAATATTCACTGACGTTTGAATAATAAAATCTTAATATTATTAGGTTCACTTATGTGCAAACCCAAGTTATCTTGTTTATCTTGATTTCGTGAATAGAAGTCACAGTTTATTCACCATAACGATTGAAGCTTTTTGTTTGTAACCAGTTTAAACTACTTGATTTTTCAAGAAAGATACTTTATTTCATCTAAAAACTCTTTAATTGTCAAACTCTACTGTCAAAGTATATATGAAATTCTGATTAGTTATAAATATAAAAGAGAAGGACAAAATTTCAGCGAGTTTTCAGAAGTAATACAGAAGATTTTGAGGTAATAGGGTCACACTGAAAAGAAAATAATAGTTTGATGTTCGTTATAAGTTAACAGCTCTGTTCATGTTAATGGAAGGTCAATTTTCACTACTTAATAATGATAAGTAGCATAAAGTGCAACACAAAAGAAATCCTCAATTGTTTGTTATGAACTTGATTCATTGTGGTTCACCCTAATATACCAAACAAAAAACATATCATGAAAATTAGAGTTTGAGAATGATGCTTCGACATGTCAAACTTACCAAAAGAACAGCGACCAAGAATACTTGGATGAAAATGAAAATACTATGGTTCACCTGAACAAAAATATTGCTTATAATTGATTAAAATGGATTTTCAACGTGCCACATAGTTTTCAACATGTAAATACTTACATATTTAACTGAAAATGTATACACTTTCACTGGATACTCACGATTACTTATTTAGGCTTAGCGATGACAAATTAAGATATCAATGGATATAAACGTCTATTTACTACAAAGTATTTCCAGTTTCTTGGTGAAATACAATTGAAACACAGATATACCTCTACATTAAGTTTGTGCTGATGATGTCGTTCAGAAGAAAGATGAAAGCTCCACGACTAAACCATTCAGATCAGAGAACAAAATTCCATCATAATCACCCATCTAACCTACAAATGTTCTAAATCATCTCAAAATCATATGAGCGTAGTACATTTCTCGTTGTTCAAAAAAATAGGATAATGTCGCCTAAAGGCAGACCTCCATTTGAGAACAATCGTATTTTCTCCACGAGTGTCTTCGTCAGCATGTTCTACCAACAAGTGCAGAGATATTTTAATGCTTTATTTAGTAACATCCCATTCAAACTTCACCATGGTTTGGTATTCAATTAGATTTGTAGGGAATATAATAAGTAGTATATTACTAAAAATAGTTATCTCATGATTTGTATTATCTAAAAACAGAGTTTTATTTTCAAGTTGTTCAAGAAATAACGTACTTTGGAATAACTAGATAAACACAAGACTACATTAATATGTAAACAATAGAAAGGATATTAAAGGATAGCAACGATTATAGATAAGTGGTTAGTTAAATAAACACTACAGACTTAAAATATTTAAGATTCTTTTTATTTACATAATAAAGTACACTAAATTGAATTTGTCAACAATTAGTTCTGATGATTTGAAATTCAGCTTTAGTTTAGTTTTATTCATTAATGTCAATGATTCATTTGACAACTGGATCTCAAACAATGTTTGAATCACATTTAAATAATTTAAGCAATCTAGTTTCAACAGTAAAGATTGTTGTAGGTTTGTACAGATTTCCGAAGCATTCTCTTATTCACTTTTGAATGAACCGTACTATTATTTTGGCTAGTTTACTGACTATGATTAGTTACAAACAATGCTGGATAGTTGTGAATGGAAATAAAATGTATATTTAGTTCATGATGACATAATATGCTTCAACAACTGGTTTCCTCTTTAGTACAAATTTCCTCTCTATTATATTATTCAAGTAGATTTTAATCGGTAAAATGTCCATATATTAACTGATTGATTTATAGATGGAATCGTTCCGGTCACATGTATGCAATGGTTAACTAGCGAGATTATAAGAACTCATAATGAGTGAATAATATTACTGTAATTAATTTATCTGCTTACAAGTTAATCCTTTTTACAGACTTGTTCGGATTGAAAATTTCTCTATGAACAAGGTGACGTTTATGCTTGGAGCTATTCAACAGTGTATACCCAACATTCTATGCTTGATTCCTAAGTCTTTTAGCATTCTAGCATTTTGTTAATCAGTGGAAAGAAAACTGAAATATCTTCTCAAAAACCACTAGTGCTGATTAATCTTCTACTGGGATTAGATAACGGTCATTTTCATCAATTCATTGAGTAAACTTACTCTGTACTACAAATCATAATCTCTACAAACATCTTATACCAATAACAGTAAATGATTGATTCGATAACCTTCACTAGTATCCCTCATTAAGTTTCAGTGAGTATGTGTAACCTGATAGATAAACGAGTTAGAAATTAGATAATGAATAAATACAGATTGTATTGTGGTGCGTGCCACTCATTTCCACGGATATAAGTAGTATGTAACACTAATGGAAAATGGAATGCCTGGCAGCAGAAAGTTGAGAAGATCGAATAGAAAAGAACAGGAACACAGAGTGATTGGCATGAAAATGAAGGGGAGAAAAAGTCTGAGACAAGTGATGGACATTTCGCATTTGAAGTATTGAACGTATGGTATTCACATTTTACCATAAAACTCGGTGATTGTGCATCCGAATACACATAGTTGTCACCACTTGTGTTCTCGTTCACTACAGTATGACTACAACTGTCATCGAAAAAAGGGAATTATAAAGTATTTTCAATGTTAAGTTAATCTTATTTTTTTTATCTGACATCAGGACATTTTACTCAAGTAATTTGGAAGTCAACTAATAAAGCAGGATTCGGTTCTGCATTCTCCAAAGATGGAAAGAAAGTGTACGTAGTGGGGCGTTACAAACCAGCCGGAAATATAATTGGTTATTATGCAGATAATGTACCGAAACCAAAGAAAGCGCCTCCACCAAGTAAGCAGAAATAATGACAATAATTTATATCCATTAGTGAAATTATTAATTTATAACACACGAGTTGTTACAAAATATGTGTTTAGATTCCCATGATAGTGAAGAAACATCAGTAAGACCAGGGAGTTCTTTAAGCTGGAGGTGTGCTGGTGAATCGTAAACTCCTTTTCTATTTTAATCCTTATCTGCACAAAGGGAAAATTTGTTAACAGTTACTTTCAAAAATTAATAGACTCCTTGATAAATTACTGATCTCTACAATGCAAAATGTCTCACCCTATTTGGATCTTATTCACTTACAACTCCATTAAACCTGTGTTTAAGATAATTCTTAGTTTATGTTGTGTAGTAAATAGGATAGATTCCTGATCACTATAGTGTTAGTCAAGATGTAAAGAACATGAGACAACTTTAAACGTGTTTTTGAATTTAATAATCAATTTTCTACACAGCAGTGAAGCTGAATAAGATGTTTCTAGTTGCTATGATAAGATCACCAAGCGAGAATTCAATAGTAGCATTTTGTCATTTACCTTGAAGAAGCTAATAGAAAACAAGTCATTTGGATTTACAAGGGTCGTATTTAAATCGTCAGCAATAAGCAAAACAGGCTTTTTTAAGTTCTTAAAGTTTATGAAAATAGAAGGCATACATAATAGGATGGGGCAAATGATATATTTTAGGAACTTAATTGAATATAATGTAATAGGTAACAGATGTCCTTTGAAGTTTCCCACAAACATCATCTGTCAATCGCTCCGTCATTAAATGATCTGTTGCTTGATTTAGCTAGTAACATGATATTGGAATTCAAAATCTATCTGGTAAGAAGGAGGACAAATTTCATGGGATGATCTGTTTTGTTGAATAATCAGTACTTATGAGTTTAATAGCAGGACTTAATTCTCAAATCAGTGAATCATCCGTTAATTCAATAAATTCATCTTAACGTCAACACATTTGCTGACTCATCACAACTTTGAAGGATAATTTCACTTCGAAGAACTCTGTCTTGCTGAAACATGATGACATTAACATTTATATATCAATCAATTCCAGAGATGAATCACACCATCTTGTAAACTATGGAAACTCAACGTAACCTAAATTTCAACTAGCTTACCCATCAGTTAAGATCTTGACGCTTATAAAAGTTATCTAGTCTATATTAAGGTCAAAACATACCGTTTTAGTTTTTACAATAAGTAAGAGATTTCTGTATGGAAAAATTCAGAACTAAATTTAAATGGTAGACTTATCTATCACTGCTTAATTCACACACTCCTCATTAACTTAAAACATTTTGAGTATATCCTATGATAAATTAAACTGATATTTTCTGTTAGACCTATAAAAGTACCTTATTGTTTGCTTATCACACTGAGTGATAATAATGTTAGTTTGATTATGAGTGATTATCTTAACTGGTTGGTAGAATGGATAAATCAGAGGAAACGTCCTAACTTAGACAGTTCCTTAAAAGAAAGTACGAAGGGATCCAGTGGCAAATTATATGTAGCTGACTCTAATAAAACCATGCTGTGATAGCAAACAGTGTCCGTATAATCTACTTTGAATAATATAGAATTCATGAGTTGATGAAAGCCAGACCACCGTCGACAACCTGGAAGCAGTGGACAATCGTTTCGTCCTAGTATGGGACTCTTCAGTAGTGTGCATCCACGATCTCACATGTGAGGCTCGAACCCGAGATCTTCGGTCGCACACGCTAACGCTTAACCCTTAGACCACTGAATAGATGATACTTTGGTAATCAAAAGTGTTTATATATTTGAATAACATACATAATCTTTAAGACCAATATGATATTACTCACAGATTACTTCATTAATTTTTTAAATAATTTTCTGCAAACCGTTTTAATCATTCTAAAGAATAACGTAAAAGTAATTCAAATTAGTGATCCTAGTCAATGTTTTCTTTTAAAAATCTAACCTAAGATACATCATATTTCTTTATTCCCATAATGTTCTGGCTTTACATTGTTTGTTTTTAAAAAACAAAATGCTGTTAGAACTTTAGTTGTTTGAGTAAGCAAATAACTCACCTTTATATTAGTTAGATAACTATGGTTTATAAAAGTTGTAAGATAAAGTGTACGTGGTTTTGAACATTGTATAATGAAACGTTATGTATAAATGATGATTAAATAAATTCAATCATATATAGTTTTCTTCCTTAGTTCAATAAACTTGTGTAAATTCGTTACTTGTACAAATAATAATCTGAAATAATGAAGCGATATTAAAGCACTTCCCACTCCCATAAAATGAATGTCTACACATATATCAGACATAATTGTCTTAAAGTGTGGTTGAAATTTTAGTAACCAACATGTTAGCTTTGTTGTTCACCGAGATGTTATTGTCATCATAAAAAAGTCAGTGTAATAATTGCTTTGATTCATGATTTTTTAGAAGAGTTTCATAAGCGTTAATGACATTTCGTTTATTTTTACTGTTGATGAGGAAAAAAACTACTGAGATTGATGATTCGCTAAATGATATTAAAGAGATACTTCTTTTCCAAGAAGAGAAATTGATAATGTAAGATAACTTCATTCATAAGCGTATGATCAACATTTTACATTAAGTATGCAAGTATGTTTTGAACGTTTGAGTAAATGTTGATAAAAAAATCATTTTGATGAATGTTTGGCGTTTCTAGAGTAGTGATTATGAGTTAAATATTGCTTGTTAATTTTCGTAATTTAGTGAGTGAAATTAATTGGTGTTAATTTATGAGTAGTAATGTCCGTAACAGGAATACAATGGACACTGTGGATGCAACTAGACGATTTGAACTTCTCAGATGTCTTAGTCCTTCGAGCTCACACACACGAACAAATGAAGTTCAAGACAACCACTGTAGCGAAAACCTCTAGATTAGTAGGCACAAAGGAAAAGATAACAACAAAAATACAAAAGAGAGGACGCTAAGCCAATCAAACTTGATAGAAAAACTCTGGAACAGACTAAAACGTTCACTTACCTGGTTAGCATCATCGATGAACGTAAACGATCTGATGCGGATGTAAAGACGAGGATTCGAAAAGCAAGGTCTAAAGAACAAATGGAACTCAAAACAACTGTTAACCAACATGAAAGTTGGAATCTTCAGTACGAACGTCAAGACAGTACTGTATGGAGTTGAAACATGAAAAAACTACTTAAACCATCATCAAAAAGGTACAAGTATTTATAAACAGTTGTCTACTCAAGATACTCAATGTCTGTTGACCGGATACAATCAGCAACAGTCTACTGTGGAAGAGAACAAACCAACTTTCAGTTGAATGAGAAATTAGGAAAAGACGATGGAGGTGGATACGACGTACATTACGAAAATCACGAAGCAAGCGCTTACGTGTGATCCCGAAGGGAAACGAAAAAGAGGAAAACCAAAAAACACACTCCGTCGAAAAGTGGAATCAAACATGAAAAGAACAAATGACAACTGGATACAAGTGGAAAGGATTGTTCAGGACAGAGTCAGATAGAGAATGCTAGTGATCGGTCTATGCTCCTGTATAAAGAGCAACAGGTGTAAACAAGCAAAAATTAAACGTTCATGATACTATGTAATTGTTATTGTTAGGCAAATGCAATATAATTAACTATCCATTTCGATTGTTTGTACATAAAAGTGTCAACAATATTCAATTATCACAAGTGGAAATTGTTAGGGAGCAAATATTTATTATCCCAGTAACAAAACACAAATATATAATTTGTTATTTTAAAAGTTAACGTACTAGAAAGTAGATAATTGTGTATTTATGTATTAAATTAACACTTAAAAGTGTTATTATTATTATTATTTTACAGGAGATGAATTTAACAAAATACCAGAAAGTAAATGTTCAATATTGTAACTTGTATCTGGATTCGATCAATTGTTAAATACACGTTATTAATAAATGGATCACGATCAAAATATGACTACACATTTAAAACAAAATAATATATATATATATATAAGTATCAGTTGACTTTCTTTCACAATAAATGAAAATTTATAATATGATGAAATGAATACTTGATAGATCTGTTTGTTTAATGAATTCCTTTATACATATTATTAAAAGTTTATTTTCTCATGATATAGATTTGTTTTGTTTTCATTTACCGTTGGGTATTATTTTGACAATATACTACTAAATGATTCAAAAAGAAATCAATTGGATCGTTTTAATAATGATAAATTACTGATGAGTCTCAAATAGGACAAAATGCACTCTTAATTTTGATTGAGGTCATGAACCGATTGATCTTAGACCATCGTTGAAAACCTGGAAGCACTGGACGGCGGTTTCGTCCTATTGTGGGACTCCTCAGCAGTGCGCACCATCATCATGATCTCAATCAAAACTTAATGATCTTCACAACCCCTATACTGATAATTACCATGTGCTCACTAGTGACTAGCATCGTGAGAAAATTCTCAAAGTTCTGGTGAGAAGCCGTGACCAGTGTAGCTAATCTGTGTCGAGTAGAAACAGGTGTCTACCTCAGTACAATAGAAGATGATTGCGCAACTCCATGCATTGCTTGAGATTAGATATTAACACTGTAGGACGCTGGTTCAATGGTCCAGTAAGTTAGGCGTTAGCTCACGAGACTGAAGGCCCTGGGTTGGAATCCAACGATCGTGATAGTGGATGCACACTACTGAGGAGACCCACACCAGGACGAAACGGCCGTCCAGTGCTACCAGGTTTTCAATGGTGGTCTAACATCAATCGGTTAATGATCTCGATCAAAAACTTAACAATCTCCACAACCCCCACACTTACTTTTTAATTGCTGATCATCCATCGATTGCGTAAGAAAATCATGTTTTATTTTTAAAGCTTTCGATTGTTAATACTTAAAAAATTACAAAAATGGGGATTTGTGCAGACTTTAGTAATTTAAGTAGTTGAATTCATGAGTCAATCTAAGCTAGACAACCGTCGACAACCCGAAAGCAATAAACGACCGTTTTTCATCCTAGCAGGAGACTCCTCAGAATTGCGCACCCATGATCCCTTATACGAGACTCAAACCAATGATCTTCAGTCCCACACATGAACGCTTAACCTATAGACCACTGAGCCGTCATCAAACGGTGTTAATGTCAAAATGATGAAATGAGAAAATGGATAGAATCGATTATTTTTGACTCTCTGATATTGATCATTAAGTAAAATATACAACTTGAAGTAGACTTATTTCTTAATAATTACGATAAGTATGAAGCATTACTGTTCCTTATTATTTCTTCTTGAACTATTGTGAAAGGATTATCCTGCGTCGCGTAAAACAATCAAGTGTATTTGTTGAGTGAATTTTGAAAAACTATTATGAATATGGTTGTGGATAGACATCTGAAATTTCGTAACCAACTGGAGTGTGTTATTTTATTAAATACAGACTATCTATTCCACTCACTTCTATCGCTTTATATATCGTCTGACAAAAAGTAACATAAGTACAATAGAAGTCGTGGATGCGAAAATATTTCCAGATACTTTACAATATCGTATTTAACATAGAAACAATACTGCTGAAATATTGAATGAGTTGTTCTACTCAGAATTCCATCCTCTCGATTATCTAATTTATAAGTGTTGTAAAGATTTTTTTCTTTTATAGAAATTTCATTTAGTTTTACACAATTTCATTGACTTATTTTTCATATACATAGACAAGAAATGCTGAACCTAGGTTTCGGTTTGTTTGGCACTTGTGTGAAAGGTGTATTTGCAATCTCGAGTGACCTGATGCTCTGTGACAGATACGATGCCGTGTAACTCAGGTTCAGAGTAACACGTTACTGACGAGTGTCGAAGGACATGAAAGCTATATCCATTGTTTTCTGTCTACTACCTCTAATCAACACCTTACATGTGTTGAGATAGCTTGCGTGAATGTGTTTTGTTGTTTGTTACTATAATCACACATCAGTATAATTTAATGCATTAACTAGTTATCGCATGAACACAGGACATCAGGTTGATATCTTAAAATATTTTAAGGGGCATTAATAAACAGTCAAGTTTCAGTCTTTTGACGTTCACTGACGCCATCTCTCGTAAGCGCTCTTTCAGGTTAGATGTATATTCACAATATTCTATTTTAAAAAATTAAATTTATTTACACTCCAACTATACTATACTGATGCATGATCGTATCAATTTCCAATTAAACTCCTTCGTGTAATTAATTTCAAACTATTTTATAACTATAGCTTTTAAATATTATCGGTCGTAAGCTGTTGACGAAAATCAAACACTGCCTCCAAGTTATCCACGGTGATCTGGCTTAGATCGACTCGTGAATTCCACTTTGAAAATACTACAATCTCCACATATCCCCATACTGAATATAATCACGTGCTTGCTAATGACTCACTTCAAGATGGGATTGCTGGTGTTCTAGTGATAAGCTCTGATTATTGGAGTCGAATTCGTGTCGTGTGGATACAATTATCCACCTCAGACAATAGATAAAGTTTTGTGCAAGATTACGGATTGATTAAAGTCAGACATTAACATCACTGAATGCTAGCTCACTGGTCTAGAGGTTAGGTGTTTGCGAACGATTCCAGGGTTCGAGTCCCGTGTCATGGACTATGGGTCAGAACAACGTTTATTTATTTTTTAATCTTAACACATAGATATTGGTACAAGGAGGCACCAAATACATATGCGCCACACAGATTTCATTTGATATGTGTGAGGGCTGTGATACTACCCGGGTGTCCAAACCGACGCAGGTGGTTTTCTTAGGGGACCATACCCGAAGCCTTTGACCTTAAGGTCTGATCCACAAGGCAGTGGAGCAACGTAAGGAAACACATTCATATGTTAGCCGGTGATCAACGATTGGTTCATACGCCATTTGTTCCTTCACGATACTGTAGCCTATGTGCACCATTGGTTTGGAATCAGGGTTTTCCAACTCCCCTCGGTGGACTCTCCATGTCCACCAACCCGGGTAAAGCACTGAACATTCGCCTTTCGTCTTCTCAATTTCCTAAACAACTCCCTCGCCAGGAGAAGGCACTGAGTAGGACTTCCCTGGCAGAGGCTATATACGCGTGACCATGTGAGAGCATTTCGAGAGGTAGAGCGGACTCTTCCCACTCTCAGCCGTACCAGGGCATTTGGGGGCGACTGAATAGTCCCATACTAAGGCTGGATAGTTATTCAATGCTTCTAGGTTTCCATTGGTAATCTTGGTTAGATTGATTCATGACTTCAACTATTATTAGAAAATTGTTGAATTTTTTATCACCCCATGTAATTTACAATTAGTGTATGTTTATTTGCTTAAACGAATATTAATCAATAATAATAATCTAATGACTTCATCAACAAAATACACATAAACATCATTAAATCATTAAAAAACATAAAATAAATGAACTGAATGTTCTTACCTTTGTAATTTATACCAATGTAGTTTCTTTTAGTTAGAAAATATTATTATTGTAAGTGTAATGAGTTTTAACTAAATAACAATGATAATGTTCATTTATTTTTATTAGTTCATTATTTATATTAGGATGATCAATATTAGAGTAACTCATTATATTGTTTAGTATTCATACTTTATCAATATGAGTAGTACAACTACATTTGATTATGTTGAAGTATTGGTAAAACAGATTGAATGGTATTTTTGACTGAATTTATAATTTTCATAGTTTTAGTGATGAAGAGACCTTAACTAGTTCACTATTGGAAACCTAGAAATACTGGACGAGCGATTTGTCATAGTATGGGACTGCTTAGGATTGAACAATTATGACTGCAAACGGGAATCGAGCTTAGGACCTTTGATATAACACGAGGACATTTAACCTCTATACTATTGAGCTGGCATCCAACCATAAGACCATAAGAGTTAAGTTAAATTTCCACCTGTGGGCTTGTAAATACGAATTATTGAGGAGTTCCATACAAGAACGGAATGGTTGTTCCTTGCCTTCTGGTCTTTAATGGTGGTCTAGCTAAGATCATTTCGTACTTTAAACTGAGAAAATTCTACAAACCTCACAAACCTCTTATACTAACATTTATAATTATTATAACCCATACATTTGTATACGACATAGATATCAAGAAGACAAGTAGTATATAACTATGAAAAAGTCATAGTGAAAACAAATGTTTCGAGAATTTATTCGGTGTTGTTTGTTTGTATCTCCAAATTGTTGTTTAGGACTGCAATTGATCAGTCTCATGTTGGCATATGTGTAGGTGGATTTGTATTTTCTTTTCATCCAATATTCAATGAACAAATAAAAATGAGAGTGAATGTGAACGACTAAGTTTCTACTTATAAATCAACAATGATATTGATATTATCAACTGTATTCCATACGGTGTATTTGGATTGTTAGGATTTGCTCATATATGCGGTGTTTCGATCGTTGTCCCTTTTATTATATACAAATAAATTATGCTGAGTAGAGATCTGTTAAAGCTAATTTATTAATTGTTTCTATTTAATACAATATTATCGCTGATCTGTTCTTCAACATCTTGAGATCTTCTGTGGATTCAGAAACATATTTGAATAGTTGATTGTACTTTTTTCACTCTCACATCTAGTTGTTTAAATGTTTTCCTGAAACATACTTCATTACACCCATCAAATTTACTTTTACGTGGACTATTTTGTTATTTTTTTATCGTTATCATTTCCTTTAGTGTTAGTAATGCGGACTAGATGACTAGAGCAAACATTCGAATTGCTTAAATTCCAGTAATTGAGATTATTTCTAAGTGTAATTTTTTAATCGAATAACTTCGACATACCTGATGCTCGATTCCTATCCAAACTTTCTTTCAAATTTTGACGAATGTTCACACAAAATTGTTAG